AAAAGGGCAGAACAAACAAGGAAATGTGTGCTTCTGAAGGCCTCAGCATAAGAGTGTCACTAACACTTGGGAGAAGAAGGCTGGGAAAATCTTGATGTTCCCAGTGATAGCAGAAGAAGGCAGCTGGGGACTGTCTCACCCAGTGACTGCACAACAATGGGACACCTGCACCCCATCTCTCTTCTGTGGATTGCATCTCCTCTCTCCTTGCCTTGTGGAAGGAATGTGTGAAGGGATGCAACTCTGGGTTTCGTGTGAAATGAATGGACCTTGCGTGGTTACAGATCCTCATGAGTTCTGGATGGAGGCAGCTGTGACGGTGGCAAGGCAGCCTGCTGGGGTGCTGTGGCTCTTCTCTAGCACATGGCCCACAGTGTTTACCCCACATTCAGCAATGCTGATAAGGAAGAAGCTGCTGCTCCCTTGGCATATCATATTACTCTCCTGCTTCAATTCCCTATCATTTCCTGACTCCTGTCAGCTCTGCCCCGGTTCCCTCCAGCAGGTTATACATGCAGACCATGAGGTCCTCTCCTTCATGGGAAGAGTGCAAGAAAGTGTGCAGAAGGGGAACAACATATGGAGAAATGACTTCAGAGGGGAAGGTTCCCCCCACAGTCAGCTCAGGTGACAGTGCCTTCTGAGACTGCTGGGAGAAAACAGTGACAGTGAAATCTTGAGAGAGGTGGCCCTTCGCCTTTATCACCTGACGGAGGTGTGTGACTGTAGACAAAAGCAGGCACTGACTTTGAGAGGGTGCTGTAGGCTGGAGCCATCCAGCTTCACTATTCAGAAGTGCCACCATCAAGATGAGACCAGCACACAGCAGCGGTGAAACTCAAGGAAATGTATACCAGACACCCTCAAACCAGGAGGCACTTTTAGAACTTGTTTTTGGGTCGACTTAGAAACTGGAAATAATCATCATCATCATCGTCATCATCATCATCATCATCATCATCATTGCAACAATAATAATGTTTTTCCTCATTAAAGATTGATTGGACTTTATCAACACTAAAATGTGTGCAGACCTTCCATTTGTGACAATATTTAGCAAGATTTATTATATTACTGTGTTAACTCTGTAACTGATTATTGTCACCAGAAATCATATGGCAGTCTTAGATTTACTTTTCCTCCTCCAAACAGGTAATGTGGAGTTTGCTTCTCTTTAGAACTGATTTTCTTTTCTAATTCTGACTACCCTAACAGCCTGTATCCTTCAGTCTCCAGTCTCCTAGTCTTTGGAGGGGCAGATCCTTTAGGGAATCTCTAATGCTCATGGTATTGCCAGAAAGCTTCCTCTGCTTCTCATAGGAAAACCCCTTGGCTTGGACAGCAAAAGCACCATTGATTCTGCTGGTGCTGAACAGAGTTCTCTTCTTGAGGCTGGTGGCTGTGTATTTCATTAGAGGAAGCACGGCCTCTAGGAGATGAAGGACAGCCCACCTTCTATGAGAACATCTGACATCTTGAACTTCATTGGGTAAGCCTTGTTAAAACTGTGGATTCCTTACAAATTTCTGCTCCCCTTCAACTGAAGACTCTTCCCAAATATTGTTTTTCAACAAGAAGCCCAAGAGTATGAAGTTCTACCATCCAAGGGCCAGCAGGTTTGGTGGTACGTGCCAAGGGAACTTTTTTCAGCAGAGCCAGTTTATCTGAAGAAACAGCCCCTCAACAGTATAGAATATTGCCCCACACAAGTGACCTGAGGCTCAAAGTAAGTTTATTTTGCCTGCAGTTTTGGACAGACAGTAGTGTGAGTCTGATGAGATGATATCCAACACTCTTATGTGCTGTCTCCTGCTGCTAGTGAGAGTGGAGCTCAAACAGGTAACATGCAAAAAGTCACATGATGGGTGGAATGTGAGAATTAATTTTATTTCCCTAAACAGTACTAGAAATGCCCTCAATCCCAGTGCATTTGTTGTGACACAGTAAGAACATGATTAGCATTTAATACTATTTAATAAATAGGCTGATTAACTTAGGCAACAGTAATCAGTACTTGCACAGATTAACAAAGTTGACCAGTCAGTGGTGAGAAACAACCATGAGAATATGATATATCAACTCTGAGTTGCATTTTAAGGTTGAATTTGGGCATCCTTTCCTCGTACCCTGAAGAAGTCTTCTTCCAAAGAAGACTTGAAGATATCTTCCAATGAAGATACATTTGGCTATGACAGGAGTCTCTATTTCTTTATTTTGTGTTTGTTGCTGAACAGGGGGCAAAAAACTTATCTGTTATTTGGGGTGCTGTGAGAATGGGAAGAATGGAATTAATTTTTGATCTGAAACTTTATAATGTCTTTTTTGATTAGGTTTATAAATCAGCAAAGCTTTGGAGGAACAAGATTGTCTGTTTTCAAATCCAAATGGTTCTGATAAATCCAAATCAGAGTAGGTAATTTTGGTGACAGTTCCTCTGGACCTGGGGACCCCAGGCATCCTGTAAAGCAGCTGCAGAGGTTCCTCACAACTCCCTCTCTGTCTCCAATTAAGAACTGGGCCAGCCAAGTACCTGTCAGGGGTGGGGTTTACTCTAACAGGGTGTGGCTCAGCCAGACCCCCCATGGTGTTTCAAAGCCTGCCTTCTTTGTTGCACTTCTCTCAGGCCCTGTGTCCATAGAGCCTTTGATCACAGCTCATCTGTCCTCCAGCATCCTCTTTCTGCAAACTTACATTCTTAAGGTCAAACATTTGCCAGCAACAGTTCACACGTGTAGCAGCCCTGAGCACAAACTCAGGCTGGGTGAAGAATGGATCGGGAGGAGCCCTGAGAAGGACCTGGGGCCATTGGTGGACAAGAAGCTCAAAATGACCCATCAATGAGCACCCACAGCCCCAAATGCCAACTGCATCCTGGGCTGCATCCAAAGCAGGTGGATGTGGTGAGCAGGTTGAGGCAAGTGATTCTAACCCTCTGCTCTGATCTGGTGAGACCCCACATGAGGTATTGCATCCAGCGTAAGAATGATGTGAACCTGCTGGAGAGAGGCCAGGAGAGGGACATGGAGATGACCTGGGGGCAGGAGCAACCCTTCTATGAAGATGAGGTGCTGGTGCTGTTCATCATGGGGGATAAAAAGGCTCCAGGGAGATCTTATAGCAGCCTTCCAGTGCCTAAAGGGGGCTACAAGACAACTGGAAAGGGACTTTTACAAGGGCTTGTAGTGACAGGACGAGGGGGAATGGCTTTTAAATTAAAAAGAGTAGGTTTGGATTAGATATTAGGAAGAAATCCTTTACTGTGAGGGCACTGAGGCACTGAGACAGGTTTTCCCAGAAATGTTGTGGATGCCCTATTCATGGAAGCATTCAGTCTGAGACTGGATGGCATTTGAAGCAACCTGTTTGAGTGGAAGGTGTCCCTGCCCATGGCAGGGGTTTCAAACAATTATTAAGGTCCCTCCCAACCCAAACTATTCTATGATTCTATGATTCTGTATGATTTGGCATTATGACTGGAAAAAAGGAATAATTAATGAAGGGGGTTTCCAAGGGCAGAAGCTTTTCAGCTCCACCCCAGCCCCTGTGAGGTAGTTCAGGACAAGGAGCAGCTGGGTGAGTGGTGTGCTCAAGTGGTCCTCCCCCCTCTCCTACTGCCAGCACATGGCCCATTACTGGGGCTGTGGTGGGCAGGAAATTTCAGGAAATTCAGTAATTGTAATGAGATTTACCCAGTCCTGCTGTCTCGTTTGCCCTGTATCACAGGCACCCAGGATGTATTGTATCTTGAAAACTTGCTTGGCAAGGAGTGACGGCAGCTGCACTGGGGCAGGTCTCAGCAGAAGGCAGCCCCATAAACGACTTGCTGATGACCTTTGATTTAACTACCAATGTGTAGCAAGCAAATATTTAAACCCATGCCATTCAGAAGGGAAGCACAGCTTTAGCATAGGGAACTCATGCTGCTATGATAGCCCTGGGCTATACCCAGGAAGGGGCAAGCAGTCCTCTTCCCCTGCCCTTCCACTCCAGCAGAGCAGCCTGCCCTGCCCATCATGCCCACTCCAGGGAAGGGACAGATGCTCAGACCCAGACAAGTCGGGAGGCTGCTGTACCAAGGAAGATGGGAGTTTTAAAGCTGTTTCAAGCCCAAAGACAAAATGACTGTGGCCATTCCTCTTGCCCTCATTGCCTGTGACCCCATACAAGCAGAGGCTGTGTGACAGGGAGGCCACCTCTGGATCTGGCTGCCTGCTGTGACCAGAGCCCCAGGGGGCTGGACCCAGCTGCTGGGCTTCTACCGTGGTTGGTACCCGCATACAGACTAGTCTTCAAGGAATCTATTGGTGTTAGTCAGGTGCAGCAACAGGCCAAGAGGGTGTTTATCCCTCAGAGTGGTGCTGAATTAGCTCTTTTGGCCAGTTTATAATTAGGTACTTGCACTTAACAGTATTCTGTCTGTTGGATTTTTATAGTTTTGTCTTTTCTTTTTTAAACATGAAAATAATCAGTCTTAAAATAAAATAATTTTAAAAAAATACCTTGGGAAGTGATCTATAAAAGGAGAAAATCCTTGCCAAGGGAACGCCACAGCAGCGAGCCCAAGCCACAGAAAGCCCGGTTGAAGGCTTCACTTTGCCGCAGCTTCTCAGAGGTTAACCAGGGTCTGTAAGCAAACAGCTTAAAGAAGGAGCCCGGCTTAGAGCCTGGCTCTTGGGCTGTCCCACAGCCTACCAGCCTAATGCCCTTCCAGCAGCCCCTCCCTCCCAAAGGCGATGCTGGGCAAACAGAGCCAGCCCTCGCCCTCTCTTCACGCAGCGAGGAACCTTCTGCGGGGACGGAGCGGGCGGCTCGGGGGCATCGCGACGGAGGGTGTTTCACTCCAGACGGGCGCAGAGCCATGTGTATATAAAGCCTGGGGCAGCAGCCCGGGAGGATTGTTTAGCACAACCACACCTTGGCTCGCCTGGCAGCACGGCGAGGCACTGCCGGAGCACCGGCGGCTGAACCCCGACGTACCCGGCTGTGGGAGCGAGCTGCCCATGGGCCCCCGCCTGCTGCTGACACTGATGCTGCTCCAGGCAGGTGAGTACCAGCTCCCGGCCCCTCTGCCCTGCCCTGCCTCCCCCTGTCCAGGGACAACATCTCCCTTGCCATCAGCTTTTCGTGCTTCGTGCCAGGAGCTCCGTGTGATTTGGCCAAGGGAGGGAAAAAAATGTCACTAGACAATCCTCAACTTCCAGAGAGGGACTGTGTAAGTGAGCTGCCTGCCTGCCTCACTTCCCAGCCCCAGCTAGGGTTTGCATAAACTGTATAAACACAGGTCTTTTTCTTTTCTGATAGTTTTATGCTACAGAGTTGTTAGTGTCCATGTTTCATAGAAATACCTTCTTTTTATACCAGTGGTCATGGAGTAAGCAGTTTTCGATGCATCTAAATTTAAAATAATTTCAATAATAATAATAATTTTTAAAAAAATCTGTTTATAAAAGCCATAAATGACTGCTGACATAAAGCCCCCTACACACAGAGGCAACAAAAAGTTAAACTGGCACGTCTGAGGTTATACCTGCAATAGAGTTTGAAAAGAAAAAAACAACCCCCTGCCTTCATTTACAGCAAAGGCTGCCAGTTTAAGCAGGAAATAGTGTTAAGTTGTCAGATTCACCTCTGCTCACCTCTCTGCAGGTAGGTTCTTCTCTAAGGTGCTCCATTAGTAGTTTAATGATTGGACACACCGCTAACAGGACATTTGGCTAGGAGCAGGCTGCTGTGGAGACTCAGACTTTTTCAAGGCTTTCCTGGCTGTGTTGGCTCAGCTGCCTAGCATAAAGAAAGCAATTTCAGTTCTTGGTCAAGTTATTAGCTGTGCACCTGAATATTAAAAATGTACTTGCTGGGGCTGACCTCTCAGCTGCAGCAGCGTGCTGCTGGCTCAAAACCCAGACAGCTTTCAAAGAACAGGAACATCAGAGGCTGCCTGGATGCCCCTTGCAGAACACACAGCCCTAAGCACACTAATTGAGTCTTTTGGACTCAATTTCCTTTGGGGTGTTCTCTCCACTCTCATAGCAGCTCTGCACTGTAATTACAGTTCCTTGATCCCCAGAGATATCCCCAAAAGAAGAATGGCCTTTCTTCTTCTGGTTGAGGTACAGTTACCTTACACCAACCTCAACCATTTTCAGCCAGTGACCAACAGACCAAGCCCAGCAATCCTGGCTTAAGATGCCAGTGAAAGACAGCTAAAAAAAAATTTCAATCTGTTTGTCAGAAGGCTGGAATTCCTACAAAGAAGTTTTTGTCTCCACTGGAACATTTTCAGGGTCTGCAAACTGCAACAGATTGAAAAAGCATTATTTATACCCCCAAACCCAAAGCAGCCCACTACTTGTGATTTCCCCTGAGAGCTAAGCCCCCTTCTAACTCTGGAGCCTTGCTGTTTAGACAAGGAAAATAAGTGGTCTCTTTAGTTCTCAATAAAACCATCCAATGTGTTTTTAACATGAAACCTGAACACTCAAGTAGTGTTTAGGTGAGCGGCCGCTTACTTTTTCAGGAATGTGCATTTAATCCCTGAGGAATGCCAGGAAGCAGAGAGAGGCTGGGATGTCTGAGATGTGCTGGGATGGCCTGAGGTGTCGATCCCTGAGGTGAAAATGGTGGCACCCGCTCCTGCTTGGGAGTCAGGCTGAGAAAGGGAGCAAAGCCCTGCCTTGTCCTTCATGGGGAGAGACCCTCCTTGTCTGCACTGGCATTTGGATTGGGCTTGGAGGGCAAGCTAGCCCGGGAGATGCGGGAAGAGGCCCAAGCAAAGGGATTTAGAGGCTAGGTTTTAAAAGGAAAGCAACTGTTTTAATAATAGTATTGAGTCCTTGGGTGGTTTAGGGGATTAATTAGCCCGTGTTTGCACAACACTTTGAAGAGGTCAAGCGTGCTGCAATAGCCAGGAGCAGGTGGCAAAGCAACTTCAGTGGCAAGTTCCCAGCTCCCAGGCATCACCTCCCTCTCCATCCAAGCATGCTGGAAAGTCCCCCTGTTTGATTTTGGAGTGGCTGTGCATGGGTGGGATGAACAGATGAGCCAAGCTTTTGGGCTGAGGATTTTGATCCTACCGATAATGCAGCACAAAGTGCACTTGGTCCTTCACAGTAAATCCAGGCATGAAATGCTCCAAATTTGTCACTATAGCATGATAAGCAGCAACGTTTGCAACCAAGCATCACAGTGGTTTGAGTATTTGGGGCAGGGTACCCTTGGTTTCCATAAATCACAAGACTGTTAGAAAGACTTGTAACTCAAAAATCCCCAGGCTGGTTAGCGTGGCCATCCACACACTCCAGGTGACACAGAGCTCCTTTCTTCTTTTTACCCCAAATTAGTGCAGCCCATCTGTTATGACTTAGGTGGAATTTAATAACGGAAGCAGATCCAAGTGTTGCCATCACTTCCAGAGTCTCAAAAGAAAGCAGCTATACATACATCTTGGTTAATGGAGGCATTTTGTCCTTGACAAAATATGTAATCCACAGGGTCAGGGCTGTAGCTGTCCCTCCATGCAGATTAATAAGACTATCAGTATGTTTTGCCACCTGGAAAATGGGTTGAAAGATCTTGAATAGTAGGGGAAACGTGGATAAGGCGAGAAATCTTGAGCAACATAGAAACTTCATTTCTTTCCACAGAGCTCTGGTTAGGTCTGGTTGCGTGGCTGTACTCTGCAGCTTCATGTCCTAGTCAGGACCATAGCATAGCTGGAAAACTGTCCCAGGTTTGGGACTCTGGAGTGCAGTGAAGCCCAGGTGGCCCTGCATAGTGCTGGCACAGACCCTGCAAAGCTTAACAGCTTGGGCTCCATGATGTGCAAGACCAGGCACACTGCTCCTGGGCACGGTACAGCTGCAATCACACAGTAGTACATCAGAACTAGTCAATCCTGCTTGAACTGAGCTCCTGTGGAAGAAATAGTATGCTTGGGTATTTCTGCACCCACCTTTTGATTATCCCAGGCAAAGCTCCCTGCACAGTACCCTCTGCCAGCTGAATGTCATGACCAGTTAGATTGCCAGGGCTGCACCCAGCCAACCAGTCAAAATCAAACCATCTCCCTTTAAGGACTGTAGGAAAATTGGTAGCAGGAATGTTTAATCCTTGTGTGTAACTGTGTCCTGTCTTTGCAGTTTGGAAAGGTGCTCTGGGAAAGTCCCATTCACTGCACACTCGAGGAATCATTGAACTGGCTGGAGCAATAACGTGTGGCACGGGACGGTCTCCCTTGGCATATATTGGCTATGGGTGCTACTGTGGACTGGGAGGAAGAGGTTGGCCTAGAGATAAAACAGACTGGTAAGAGAAACCTCAGCTCTGCGTCCAGAAGCAATGCAGATCTCTCTACTTTTTTCTGTTTGTGCTACTGTGAGTCCACTGACTCATTTGCTGCCTTGTGGTCAGGGAACTTCATGTATATGAACATACAGGGGATTTGTGAGTGACTTGTGTATCACTTGGGATCTGAATGAGGGTTTAACCTCCTTCTGGATGACACCAAAGCTCTTAGGACCTTGTACTATGTGGGGTAGAGGGCAAAGGGGAAACCAGGATGTAATTTCTTGAAATAGCTGAATTTTTTTCCTTGGAGATCACACCCTACCTGACAACAGAATTGTAATCCAAGGTATTTGGAGGGTTATTTCACCCAGATCCTATAAATGGAAGTGATGGAACTATCACTGTTTATCCTCTTGAAGAAATCTGTATTGTTGCAAGGAATAATCAAACCTGTTGCCTTCACTGGCTGTTAGTTTGCACTGGATCAAGGTAGAATAATAAGGGAGAGCATGGTGTTATTTTCCCTTTTCTTTGTTAGTGTGGAAGATGTTAGGCTTGTTATTCCCAACCAGTGTCGGAGGTATTGCAATCAAAGGCTTCTTTCCTGTACTGTGCAGTGAGCATAAAGAGAGTAAACGAGAGTAAAGCTGAGGATACCAGACTCTTGTGTGCTCTGAGCCTGGTACTTGCAATCTGACAGGTTTGAAATATCAAAGCCAAAGCACACAAGTCTATCTACAGTCAACAGACCAGGTGCTACTAGTAAGCAAGCTTGGCTTTTAGCAGGGTGAAGGTAGTCTGCAGCTCACTGGGAAGGAAACTGAGCCTTCCAGAATACTTTGCTGCTGGAGACATTGCAGGTTGCTACAAAACCAGATTTTGCTAAATTAGAATGACAGAAAAAAGGTGGGGGTGGGGGGAAGGAAGAAAAGATGTCAAGGTTAAAGATCTCTGTGGGCATGAAAGAGAAGTTGTCTGTCCCTTAAGACTAATGCAGCTGTCTTCATTAATGCAGCAAGATGTTTCACTCCCAAAGCCCTCTCACTGTGTCCCTTTATTTGTCTGTGAAATATTTAATTTATGAAACAGTCAATATGGGCCTCACAAATGGTGAGTAACTGCAGTAATATCTCTTGACCTTCTTATCACAGTGCTTATCCACAGCAGTGTATGTAAGGTGTTTAATTATTTTTGTTATCCTTTAACAAATTTCATAATAAAGCCTTGAAAGTAAAACATGACTTCACTAATTTGGAGTACTGCTTTTATTGGAGTAGAGCAGAAGTTGAGCAGAGTGACCTAAAAGCTATTTTCCATAGAGGCTGAGTGACATCCAAACTTGTGACCCTGGGAGATGCAGGGGGAGTCAGCACTGCTGAAAAAGAGAGAGTAAAATATGGCCACATGTTCATCAGCCAGTGTTTCTGCTATTGTTTAAATTCCACAGAGGATTTTAGGATTTTATCCTAAAAGCAGAAAATGAAACTTTGCAAGTGGAAATACCTCAAAATATCAGATAGTTTGTAAAAGGGAAGCTTGATCATCTAAGTACATTCATTATCATTCCTTAGCTGCAATGCTTGGCTACTGTAGAAAAACTTGTAAGTTTTATTTAGGTTCTTATCTAGGAAGAATCAGCAATGCCACAATAGATTTAGCCCTAAAATTTTCCATTTCTGTCTGTTAGAGAAATACTGGTGTCTGTTACTAAGAACGACTGCAATGATTAGTGTGGTTGAGTACCCCACACCTGTCAAAGTGACCACATTATTTTCCATATTTGCCATTCTAAAAAACAGAGTGGTAAAACTACTGGCTGTGAGTGACAAATACTGTTTGAAATTATTCACTGCCTTGACCTTCTAGGTTTGTTACAGAGACCCTTACAAAAGGAGTAATTTTCCTGTGTGTAATTCAGTCAATCTGTCTAGACAGGGCTAGAGTGCTTCTAAGCACCTCTCTTTTATGTGCAAAAGGAAAAAAGCCATTGAGTGGGTAATCCTTTTATAAGGTTTGTTCCACATACTGACTTTGATGTGGTGTTGTCAGTAATTACCTTCTCCCTTTTGTTCCACTCTCACAGTTCCATCACTTCAAGGCATAATGACATTTCTTCCACATCAATAGTCAATAGGTTTGTTTCTCCTTCTTTCTGATCTCCTGGATGGCTGCAGCACCTGTGATATAAAGTAGGACCTGAGGGTGCTCAGCACTTCCCTGAAAACATCATGAAAGGCAGGGTGCCTCTATGACTCATCTAAGCTACAGGATCATTAAGGTTGGAAAAGATCTCTAAGATCATTGTGTCCAACTATTAAATCCTGGCAAACCCATAGGGAAGCGTAAGATTTCCCCTCTGTCGCAACGTTAAAGCAAAAGGAAAAGACACACAGCAGTGAGGGTGCTGTTGATGTGACAAACACAACGTGACAAATTCTTACCTTATTGGCATTTGCTCAACAGCAGGGGTCTGGCCAGCTGATCCCTGCGGACCAGCCGGAGCTGTCTGTAGCCATTAGGGCTGTCTCGTAGCCCAGGCGTGATGAGCAGGTTGTTTCCCACCCAGGTGACACAGTTGTGTTTGTTTGCCATCGCTGATGAGCGGTGCTCTGCCGTGGTGCTGGCTGCCTCTGTTTGTGTTGGTGTAACCGAATGTTAGCAGGTTATTAAAAGCTTAGCACCACTCTGACTCGGGTGCAGCAAAGGGCATTTCCAGACTGGAGGGGCCCGGCGGCAAAGGACAACAATAGGATTACTTAGTCTTCGTTCCTTGGCAGTTCTTTCAGATGTTTGTAAAATAGAAGCCGAAAGTCTTCTTGCTTTGTGCTGGAGTAAAGTACCTGTCACCCTGCTGCAGCTGTGGGGATCATCGGGAGGAATTCCTGTAAGGGGAAGCAGAATTGTGCCCCAAATCTTGTGGTCCTGCAGAGTTTATGCACCTTGCCCTGGTTTTGCCAAGCCAGATAAGGAGCAGTGAGTTCTCAAGCTAGTTAAAACACCATTTGCTTGTGCTAATTCAGTGCTCATTTGCTTGTTTTTGTCTGATTCACAGAACGTCTTTTGCCCTCTACAGTATCTGTCCTCACTTCTCCTCTCTTTCTTTTTCCCTCTGGCTCTGCATAAAGAGCAATTTCTTTCCCTGGGCACAGAGGCTCCTAACATCTCCCTTTACCCCTGTGCCTTCACATTGTTCTTCTTCCCTCCACTCCCCCATTACTGACACCAACTTTACCAATTTGGCTACTGATTCACTCCCCAGACCTCACAAACCTTTGGTTTCTATAGCTGGCACTCCCCTCAGCTCAGGCTGATTTGTGGCTCTCCACCACCGCCTCCAGTGCTCAGTGTTCCATATATGAGACACCAGTGATGGGCCTGCTCTGCAACCTATCATTCCCCTGAGGATGGGTTAAGCTTTGCTGGAGCTTCAGGATTTTTATGTAAAATCAGCCTGCCTCATTTTTTCCCAGTTAGTTTCTACTCTCTGTAGAGTCACAGTGATCTTGCAGAGATGCTTTCTGGAAATGCAGATCACTGCTCTCAGGCTCCAGCCTCTGACCTTGCATCCCTGCTGAAACAACCTTTGTTATTCAGCAGAGAACTAAGTGCTGAATCTTTCCTCAGTGAAATTTGAGTGCCTAAACTACCAGAATAAAATTCAAGTGAGGTCAAGTTTTCTGTAAACTGTTTTCAGTAATTGACAGTGAGAATTATCTCAGACTAGTCCATAGGACAGATGTCATCAGCTGAACTAGTCATCCTCATTCCCTCTCTGGTCAGTGAAGCACAATTGCACTTTCAAATCTGATGCTTTTCACCTTATGTTAGATCTCTGCACCATGAAAATATGAACTATGGTGCAGATGTGCATAGAGGAACGATAGGTGAGTATCTTAGATTTAGCTGTTTTTTAAGGTTCTTAAGTTAACTGGTATAAAATTTCACCATTGAGACTGATTAATTTGTAGCCTGCCCTCAGAACCTTTATGGGCCAAGAAGCACAGGTGAACTGAAGAGATAAAGATTCTTGGTGATATTGAGGAAGGCAAGGAACATCCCAGTTCAAAGATTTGGGATGGGTCTAAGCCTAAGCCAGTGAGCTACAACAGCACAATTTATAGGAACACTTCTGCTCCCTTTCAGCCAGATTACCATGTCTTGACCACACATGTTTTCATGAGGACAAAAGCTCAGAGGAAGAAGCACAGTGGCCATGGGAGCAAATATGGCATTAATGAGCTCCTGAGACATGCAAGCTTCCCCAGAGATGCCAGGATACTTGCTTAATCAACAGATGATTTACTGACAGGCCAGAGTGAACATTGCTGTCATGAGCTGCGTGTGAGCAAAGCACCCCCAGAGTCTGTGCCAACAGGCAGAATGCAGGAGGACACCCAAACTCTCTCTTTTTATGTCTCCAGGTGCTGCCACAGGCACGACTGCTGCTACGACACGGCAGAGAAGGAAGGCTGCAACCCCAAGGTGCAGCGCTACCAGTGGGTGTGTGAGCAGAACACCGTGCGGTGCGGTAAGGAAAGGCTGGCTCCTGTGGCGTGGGTTTCCCTCCCTCCCTCCCTCCCTCCCTCCCTCCCTCCTCTGCAGGTACCAGGCTGAACAAAGTGCTTTAGGGGTCCCAGAGGCAGGTTTGTGTTTGCCAGGCTGGTTTCAAAGCTGCTTTAGGTAGTGTCCGTTCTCTTCCAAGCTCCCTGCCCATTCCTTGCCAGGAGCTGGCAGGAAAGCTGGAGCCCCAGCACAACCCATTCCAGGTAACCTGAGATCTCCCCAGGCTGAAGAGCAGGAGTGGGGGCCGTGGAGCCCCCAAGCCATCTTAGTTTGGCAGAGATGCAGGTAACTCTGTGGAGACTTTCTGCTCACTGGTATTAAGTATGTCCATTCCCACAACTGTGGGTCTTCTTTCCATTGCAATTCTGGCCCTCCCTCCAGCAGGACTGTCCACTTTTTTACTACTCTTAAGCACTGCTGGAGAAGAGCCAGGCTATTTAGCATCTCTGCAAGACAGGTTAAATAGGATGCCAGCCTGCACCTCTGCCCTGTGTGGGGCTCCAGCCTGAAGTCCTGGGGTTCCCAGCAGGGATTTTGACCCATGCAGAATCAAATGCTCTCGAGTGCTTCAGGCAGACAGCAAGTGTGGGCTGTGCTCAGCTCTACAGCTGGTACTCAGTCAAGAAGGTTTGAATTGCACAGTCACAGCCCGTCAGTGTCTCGCACAGTTTGTTTTGACATGCACCAGATGACTTGAGTCTTAGAATTTGTCACTTGTATTTCTAAGTCTCCAGAAAGCTCCTGGTGGTAAAATCCATTGTAGAACACTTTGAAAGTTTGAAAAGAAACGGTGAAAGTAAAACTTATCCCCATAACCATCAAAGTTACTTGCTAGAACATTAAAAGACTATTTCTACCTTATCAGAAAACCATATTCTACTGGTACAATCCTCAGCCTCACTGGCAGCTGAAGGTGTGCCAGCAGATAGGAGATGTGACACAGCACATCTGCAGTTACTCTTTTCCAAGATTCAGAACAATCTATTAAATACAAAGTGCTGGCAAAGGAATATGTCACTTTAATGTACAACCATTCTCCCTCCAGCCTACCCATATTTGATATTTTTGCTAGTTGATTAATATTTTCTGCTAGTCATTTCTCAGGAAAAAAAGTCCTGTTTCTCTTTGCTGTGAAGAAACATTCCAAGTTGCAGATATGAGATGTATCATTGAATCCATTGGAATGGACATAGGAGTGCAGTGGACTGCAGTTGCTCTGACTTGGCTAACAAGCATGAGTTAAACAAATTTCATTAATTCCTTAACTGATGTCCAGGCAAGACCTGATGCATCCATCAACTTTTCTCCACAAGCCCTCAGCAAGCTTCCCTCCCCCTGATAGCCCCAGTGAGGAGGAACAATAGAAATGTGTTTTGAAGGCAAATCTCCTACCCCAGGCTACAGCATGGCAGGTCTTACTGAGATGTGAAGGTATAATGTCTGATCCCATTCAAACAAAAGAGATGAAGAATTAAATTTTCAGGCATGCTTGCTGAGCTCAGGGTAATAATGTCCAGAAGTGTTAGAAGCAGAACTGTTTGCACTGTCATTCCAATGCAATGGGAATTAGATGCCTGCTGCCTGACACTGTATCATAAATACAGACATTTTCATGTAAAAGAAGTAGAAACTCATTGGCATTTCTCCTCTTTTTGCTACCATTAGGTAGTTTTGTTTGTGGAATAAAAAAAGCTGGCAAAACCATATTCTTCAGTCTAGATATGCCATCACCTGTAGGTAAATTTCATTCAACAGATATCTGGAATATAGAAAAGGCTGTTAGTTGTGGGGTCTGGTCAGAAAAACCATTCCTGTCTAATAGAAATGTTACAAAGCCAGACTTTTGTACTCACATATGATGAACAGTTGCTGGCACAGCATAGGAAGAGCTCAAGGAGCAGAGGGTCAAGGAGAGTATCAGGCAAGCTAAGAAAAAAGTGGCCTTAAGTCCTCATTGACCATTAGAACACTTTTACCAATAAATATGAGATTATTCAGACCAGCTTACGAAACATGGGCTTTTCTTATTTTTCAGATACAGGGCTGATCCATCAAAGTCCAGTGAAATCTGGAAAAATTCCTATACTTGTTGCAGTTGGTTTTGGAGTGAAGCCTATGTGCACTGGTACATTAAACTGCCTACTGCAGGGTTTTGTGGCTGTTAGATAACCCATGGCAGCAGCCTCAAATAAATGAGGTGCTTACTGTGCTTTGAAATAATATTAACCCAATAGCTGTATTTAAACCACCTGGAGATGAGATTCATTAACCCAAACTCAGTCATTTGCAATGTAGCCTTCTAAGCTAGCGGCTTTGATGCTATTTATGGTCATGTAGTCATATAGTTGCATTCTGTTTAGTTCTATGTATGACTTTGATCACTTTGTTAGCTGCTGGCTCATAAAAAGCAGGTACCTGGCCCTGCTGCAAAGCTCCTTGGCTCCTCTGCTGTGATCAGAGAGATACAACAGCAACTGATACAGCAAGAGTGAAGGATGCCTGCTCGGTGCTCTGATGCCCTCAGGTTTCTCAATATCCCTCTGGGAGTCTCCTCCTTTCAAAGTAGTGTTTTTTTCTTTTGAAATCAGTCTGTTTTGCAGAGGGAGGAGTTAGAAGGGAAATTCACCAACTGAGGAACGGAGGAATATTTTTACCTCAGGCTAAGATAAAATAATTCTCCTTTTTAGCTTTGACTGCTGAATTAAACCCTCATAGTTCACACAGTTCTAGAAGCAGGGAGTGCTCTGTGCTGAGCAGATTTTTATAAGCATTGCCAATTTACATTTAGCTGCTACTTTCTGATGCTCTTTGTCACAGTAAAGGTCAGACCTGTGGACAGAGAGAGGGCAGGGAAGGGTCAGATCCACTCACAACACAATATGTTGGTCTTGCTGCCACAGCCTTTGACTCCTAAGGGCTGCTTTTTTAGGGAATTTTTCTTCCTAAAACTGTTTCTTGTCTTGGATACAGAACCTCTTATCCTTGGCTCACATTTTCTTTTGCAGATAACCTGACAGACCGATGTGAAAAAATGGTGTGCCTGTGTGACCAAGAAGCAGCCAAGTGCTGGGGAGCAGCACCATACAATCCACACTTCATCCTCTGGCCAGACTTTTTATGTGGACAGACTCATCCCACCTGCCACGTCACATATGGGGGGCCAGAATAGTCTTTATACAACCTTTCTTCTAACAATTTGAACCTGAAGGTTGTGGAATAAAATTTTTCCTTGTTTTTCAGATCTAACAGTGGTGTGAGAGAATTTCTATCAGGGCAGGAATTATGGGGAGGAGAAACAGAACAGCAAGGTGTGGGGTGGAGTTGCCCTCTCTGTGAGACACACTTGGAATGTATCGAGCTCTGCCTTTGGGTAGACAACAAGCACGTAAAGAGCTCATAGATTAGGAATAAAGGGCAGACTAATAAGGGTAACACTGTTGGGGGTGTTTGCTACAGGCCACCCGAGCAGGAGAAAGTGGATGAGGCCTTCTACAGCCAGCTTGAAGCAGCCTCACAGTCACGGGCGCCAATTCTGGTGGGGGACTTTTAACTACCCTGACACCCACTGGACAAACAACAGGTGACAAAAGTGATTAAGGGACTGGAGTATCTCCTATGAGGAAAGGCTGAGGGAGCTGGGTCTGTTCAGCCTTGAGAAGAGATGACTGAGAGGGGACCTCATCAGTGTCTGTGAGTAACTGAAGGGAGGGCGTCAAGAGGATGGATCCAGGCTCTTCTCGGTGGTGCCAAGCAATGGAACAAGAAGGCATTGAGTAGAAACTAATAGACAAGGAGTTCCACCTGAACAGGAGGAAGAACTTTACTGTGCAGGTGACTGAGTACCGGAACAGGTTGCTCAGAGAGATTGTGGAGTCTCCCTCACTGGAGATATTCCAGACCTGTCTGGACACAACCCTGTGCTCTGGGATGATCCTGCTTGAGCAGGGAGGTTGACCCAGATGACCCATCATGGTCCCTTCCAACCTACCTTTGCTGAAGCAAAGAGAAGATCCTTCTCTGATCATGATCAACATCTGCCTTTGCAGAAACAGAGGGCTTGGTCTGTGGTGCAGTGAGAACACATCTCCTGTCACTAAATAGTGCTGCTGCTCTTTTTTTTTTTTTTTTTTTTTGTCATATCATGGGTAGTTTGGATTGGAAGGAGCCTTAAAGATCATAGTTCCAATCCCTGTGCAATGAGCAGAGACACCTTTAACCAGATCAGGTTGCTTAGAGCCCAGTTCTCTTATCCTTCATGCTCCTGCGTCACAGCACTGGAGACACTTCTGAGCTGTGTTCAAGGGTAAGCAGAGTTACACTGGGCTATTGCATTTGCAAGGTCAGCAAGGATTTCTGACTTCTACTTACTAGCAGGCATACCCACACTTTGCAAAAGAATACACTCTACTCCACAAACTTCAGAGATGATATGCTGCTCTCTGATAAATATAGAAGATAGTCTCCTATGCTGGCATGTCCCCCAGTCCCTGACTGCCTGGGAATCAATTATTGTCACATCAGGAAACAATGGCTGTGGAGAACATCAGTCATGTCAAGCAAATCTTTCATATCTCCTTCTTTTTCTTTAAAAGGGTATTAGAGACTTATATTCAAATGTTACATTTCCCTCTGTCAAGAGAAACCAAAATCCCATTCTTTCAGCCAGGAGTAGCTGTGTACGAGTGGGCCTTCTTTGCATCTTTGTTGCAAGCCTTTGGACTGGAGCAAGCCAACAGGACAAGAGCCTCTTTGGCAGGAGGCACAGGCAGATGGGAGCCACGCCTGCATCCCCAGAAGCAATGCTTGTGATTTTCTCGGGTAGGTGCTAGCACTATGTGTGCACCTGGAGCACCTGGCTAGGCTGGGCTCCTTCTGTCTTTGCTGAAGCTCACCTGACAAACTTTGAGCTGCACCTTTAAAATAAGAACTAATGGCACAGAAAGACCCAGGGTGCCTCATCAGAGTCTAAATTCAGAGATATGTGGCCAAACTAAATGGAGTTTTGGCAGGTGATAATACAGATTTCTTCACAAAAAGCTGCTTTGCTCCTTACTTCAGGAGGATGGTGAATATGCCACTGCAGCTGTCAAAGCTGCAGGAAAAAGAAGCTTGCTAATAAAAATAAAAATAAAAATGCCAAAGTCAACATGTAGAGGCAAAGGCTTTTATTCTGTCTAGAACTCCGGGTTTTGGCTTATGAGGCATCAGAAGTTGTTCCACCTGCAGGCTTTGCATATCCCAGCAACTCCTGCAATGCTGCACCTCAAGCTATGCTGAGCAAGAAGAAAAGGAGAGAGAACGAGTGAGCAACAAAGAGTCAGGACAACACAATAAACTCCTCCGAGGCTTTTTGCCTAGAGACGAAGTTGTGAACTCTTAATGTAGAGCGTTTGCAGAGGGATGATGCTGTGCAGACAGCAGCAGCCTATGGAAGGGAGTGTGCTTCTCAGCAAGGGCTGGAACATCCTCGTGAGAGAGGCAGAGCTCCCGGCGTGTCCCTGTCCCCACCACGCTGTCCATCAGGTGGCGGCAGCGCTCCAGTGAACGGCAAGAGCAGCTCTTCTTCTGCCAGCCCTTCAGGGAGGGGATTTTTTCATCATGCTGAGCAAGATTTTTGAGCGCTAGAAGAAGAGGTGCAAATCACACGTCTCCTCAATGAATGCAAAAAGTCAGCTGAGCTCGCTCTGAAATACCACATCTTGGGTTATTCAAAATGGGAACTAAACTTGTTTCAAAATACTGTGTTAGTCTCCTCAAACTAGACCAGCAGACAGAACAGAAATAAGCAGAAAAAAGTTTTGGGTACATCAGTCTCTTATTGAGGCATTTCTTTGGCTCATGTGTGGTGAAACATGCTGGTTTTTCCAACCTTATCAGCTGATCTAATAGAAGATAGATCTTTAAGTAGGGCTTTAGAAACCACACCTCACACACCTAAGCCATCTTAGGCTTTCTGTACACAAGCACTGCGAGAATACAGATGTAAGCAATGAAGTTGGCAGGAGGAAGGACCATCCTTCAGCATAAACATAAAAATGTTTTGAGTCCTTGGTCTTTGTTAAAAGAAGCTGCAGCATCTCATTGAAAAACTCTTAGTCCAAAGTGACAATTAGAGAAGATCCTATTATTTTCTTTATAGGTAATTCATTAGGCCCATTGGTGAAGCTCTACTCAACATAAACAAAAAACTAATTGAAAAAGTGATGGAACATAGAACCAGCTCTGTTAGAGTTTCCTTCACACATTTCCTGAGCCAGATCCCATGTCTGACCTAAGGTAAGCAAATGCCTAATTTGTCTTTCAGTTAAAACACAGGTACCTTTGGCGAGACTCTTGTCTCATGCAGAGGATGCACTTCCTCAGTTGCGGGGTTAAAACAATAATCAGAACCACTATGCCTCCAATACCAGCTGCCACAACCCCAATGATTGTTCCAATGGATTCTTCTATACCAAACAAGCCTGGGGGAGAAAGGAAAGCAGAGAGAGTAACGTAAGATGTTTTCCAGACAAGTATATGCAATGCAGCCAGCATCTTTTCTGCAGTGGCTGCAGAGGAAGCTACTTACTATGATCATGCTGATGTCTTGTCTGACATGAAATCCCTTCTACATGGGAGAGTGACTTGCACTACAGAGCTACTGATTTTTCCACTCCTGTGTAGGAGCTCCTAAGCAGCATTCCCAAGGTGCTATGCTGTCTGTGCTTTAGAGACAGGGCAGCCCCATTGCTCCCGAAATCTCCCTCAACAGCTAGACGCTATGGGATGGCAAAAGAAGCTGCTGCTTGAATTAATGGGACTCAGTCCTGTATACTTTTTTTTAAATATGTTTTTGAAAGGAAAATAATTACTCTGACAACTTTGAGAAAGCCATGGATCTGCCTATCTACTTCCAAGGGAGACAGCACCAGAGAGCAGAGAGCAGCACTCCACTGAAGTCCTTTCTTTGACTGGTTGCTCTTGGGACTGTTGCATGGCAGAGATGGCATAGTGCTGAAATTATGCATTTCATCATCTCAGGAACACAGAAAGGCAATTATGCTGGCCAGAGTGCAGACATTTCAAGAATAACCTGTGCTACTGAGACTATGAGATCAAGCCAACAGGAGACCTCATTAGACAGATGACCAAGCCCCTGCAGAGGGGCACAGTTTGCTTGCCTTAGTGTTACAGTTTAAACTGAGTAGTGTTATAAAAATTAGTAACTCAGGCTCAAAAGGCAAAGGCTTAGTGAATCTTGGTGAGATAGAAGCTTTGGTGATGAAAAATAGGAAAATGGTACTTGCATAATTTACTGTTGACACAGAAGGAGGTATTTTTTGTTAATTAGATAATAAGATAATAACCCTTCTAATGTGTTGGCTTTTTGGGACTGGAATCTGTTTAGCCTACATAAGAGGAAAGTTTGGCATTTCCAGCTGCTACAGACATAACAAGTTACCTCTTTACTTAATATGTCTAGCGTCTATCTGTGAGGCTAAGAAAATATAGCAGGGAACTTTTAATGCTATTTTCATTTTAATGTGAATGAAGTTAATCAGAAATTATATAACAATCATATTATATATGATCCTCGTGATTATCGTGGGATTACTTATGTCATTCAGCGTTAAGGAATGACTATGCAAGTTAGTGGGTTGGAGAGAAATAACGTCAAAAAAAAAAGAGGTCTAGAGCTGTTCCTTGAGATGGTACCTTGTCACCTGTCACTCATGGGGGTTCTGCCAGAGCTGTGAGTACAAGAGGAACTTGTCTGTTTCATTCTTTGCAGTGACTTTATGTTTATGGATGACATTATTCCTTCTTTTTGTGGTGTAAATGCTCCTCCTTATAATAATACCTGTGACTGTTTATAGAGACAAGCTAATGAATTTAAGCTGGCCTTACAAAAATAATGAGAAATTCTATAGAGCAATTACACTCCATGACACCAGGCTCCATGACTGCCAGAGGCCAAACAGGCTGACTTCTCTGTTTCTGCAAGTGTGCAGAGCAGCTTTGGAGGAAAAACAAGGAGAAAAAGGGTAAATAACTCCAAGTATTACCCAGAGCCCTCCTGATCCTGAGCTTTGTGCCATCTCCTGTCACCACCTTCCCATCCGGAAGTGTAACCTCACAGAAATAAATACCATGGTCACTGATTGTCACATTGAGGATAATCAGGGAAACATCCCCTTGGGACAAGTCTCCACTCATGAAGATCCTGGAGTTATTTGGCAAGATGGTCACATTCTTTTCTAGCAGGTCCATCTGCCCCTTTTCATCTTCTTTGTACCACTTCACCATCAGGTCAGTCAGAGAGGGATGCTGTGGACTGTTAAGATGACAGTTCAAGGTCACAGTTTCACCTTCTTTGGCTTTCTCCTTGGCTGGTGTTTGAGTCACCAAAAGGTTCCAAGGCTCAGGTGTCAACAACAAGGGCTGTGCTGTTACATGAGTCACAGCTGCTGCATTCTCCTTGTTTGCACCTCCACCAGTAACTCCTACATCTGTACCAAGGAAGAGAGAGAAGAGGACAGCTGAGGGTGATAGGATGATAAAATGTTCCTGCTGCTCCTGACCTCTAACCAGCACAAAGTGGCTCCTGGAATTAGCACATGAGGGCAGTCACTGTTACAGTGACAGGGATTTTCTTCCTAGTTACACTTAGGTTATGTTGTTGCGTACAGACAGGTCTTTTCCTGAATATCAGCTCCTTTCTACTGCCACAGTAGAGGAAGGAAGATTAATGCCATTGTCTAATGGCTTTGGGTGAAATTTAGAGTCCAGTCAGCCCCCTTTCCATCTGCAACACTAACCTCTTTCTTCCCATCCTGAAAAGTCTCAGGGCCTGATGTTCCTGACTCAACTGCTTTTGAGGCAAAGCAAAAGATGCATGTACACCTACACACTGGCAGTTCTGTTCTGGCAAGTACAGTGAATAAGGATGCATCTAATGCAACTGCCTGCATCCCAAAACCTAACATGATTCTTAGAATTTTTGGCATGCACTTTCAGTTACAGGACAGGAAATCTTGAAATCATGGGAAGAATCTCCATTACCAGGGACTGAACCCCTAGCAGATCTTATCAGCAGTCTGAGGGACAGAACATCAGCCTTATGCCTGCACTGAAGCTGAAGGTGACAGCTATTCTCTGTCACACTATAGTAGGAACGGTGAGAAGCACAACACGGACTCTCTTAGCTGCATTGTCCAAGAGAGCAAAGTTTATTATTCTTGATCTTCTTATGTCTTATAGACATGTTCAAGAAAGTCCAAGAGGTAAAACTCTCATTGGTCATTAAAGCAACACATCACCATCATTGGTCAAGTGGAACACCATCCCTTGACTGTTTCCTAAACAACACCTGCAGAGATTGTTTGTCCTTTACCAAGGACTGTTTGGATTCTTTCTCATGCTTTCTCAGGCCAGAGTGAGAAGCCTGTGCGACTTAGTTTCACACAGGCTCTGTTCTCTGCTTGCTTTTTGCATTTAGCATCCACAATTCTCTGTGAAGGGACCGTCTCCTGTTAGCTTCTGTTAGAAAAACATGAACATGTCTGTAGCAGACATTTCAACCTGCCTTCTCATACTCAGGTGCTAACCACAGTATCATATCCTTGAGCTAAGAGTAGTGAGAATGGATCTCATTTCTGGGAACAAGCCTGGGCACAGTAAATGAGAGAAATAGTTGCTGTCTCAAAAAGAGGGAAAAGCAAACCTAAAAATAAGCTTTTGCCAAGAAAGAGTTCAGGCCAAATTTTGGAAAAGGCTCTTCTGTTGTTTTATTTTCTTCAAGTGAAATAGTCTCCCTTCGAGCTAGTTTGTGTCCTCTCAAAGACTGCAGACCATTCCAGAGTGAAGGTCCTGATTTTCCATTGTCTTGAGTCTTTCATTGCCATCCACAGAGTGTGAAACATTGTTGTGTGGGTCTGGTAAAGCATTACAATGACAATAGACACTCTCTGCTCAGGGACAAATGTCTCGAGGCAATGGAAAACCAAACCCCTTTATGATCACTTTGAGAGTTACTTGAATGGCTCCTCCAGGCATGCTTGTACACAAAAATCACAATTTCTATTCCTAGTTATTATTATTTATGACTCATATGGGAGTAGAGGATTTCTGTCAGCCAGCAGGGCCCTGTTGTTCTGGGCACCTTACAAAAGGCTGGGATATAGAGCTTACAGTTTACATATGAGACAAAAGAGAACTCATGAATACAAAAATACAGGAACTATAAACTGGCTGTGAAACTAGACAACAACAGAGCATGTCAAACATCTTATGAGCTGTTTGTCGCTCTGTGCTTTTACCACAAAGTGAAGATTTTTGCCTTAGAACTGGAACACCAACCCATGGGAACTGGATGCCTGAGAATTGGTACCCAAATATAGTTTTGAATCTGGTCCCCTAAAATGAGTAGTTCTTACTGAAGGTATCGGGTGAGATGTTATCCTTCCGTTCATATGTAATCCTACCAATGAGCCCACTGGAGCTTCTTGAGGAAATCTGAGGTCCAAATCTTCCCTGCCTAGTTAGATACGTGTATCAAGGCAGCAGTCATAAAAGTTGAAGTATCTTGACAAACACTTTGAGGAAACACAAAGTATAATTGAAATAACTGACAAATCTTGACATATTACAGTTTTGTGCATCAAATATTCTGAAGTGATCTATTTGGTTATTTATTAGAGTGAATTTGAGCAGTTGCATAATGAGTACTCTTTTAAAATCTCAGTTTATTAACCATTTTTTCCGCTGGATAACTGTTGCATTAGCTAATGTGTGCTACTGCTACCTTGTTTTCAAGGAATGGCCACAAAATTTTCTCTGCTACAAGTATTCTAGTCTTGCCATATGTATCCCTGTAACACAACTGTAATTTTTATTTCTTTTAGTGATATGAAAGGTGTATTTTTTACACAGACAGTGGCTAGAGAATGTAACTGAGTAGGAACAATGTGCTTTGATGTTGCCTCTGTTCATCATGAGTTTTAGACACGTCTCCTATCATGAGATAATAAATGGCCTTGTCATCTGTCTTATTCCACATCTTTGATTCAATACAAATCATGTAACTTAACTAGGAAAATTAAAACAGGAGAGGAGTAAGCTGTCTTGTTTTGTCCCAGCTCTCTTTGGGAGAAGGTCACAGCACTACCTCTATTTTTCTCCCTTTCTTTTCTTCCTTTTTATTTTTTAAGGCTGCAAAATTGGAACATATTAGTTCACTGGTATTCAATTACACAATGCCCTTATCGTTTTGGCATCTGGGAGCATACCATGCCAAATGCTTTGCTGACTCTGCTTCAAAGCTCTTTTTAAGTCAATTGCTTCATTAGCAGAGTGATGTGTAGGTCCCTTGTCATTTGGGTTGTGGGGCTCAAGCCTGTGGAGAGGAATGCAAGGCTTTGTGGTGAAAGCACTTGAGCTAGACAGGGTACAGAGAAATACAGCATGGATGATCTTGTCTAGACCTGGACAAATGATTAGATGATCTAATAGGTCATTGTCATATGAAGTCCTTAGTTCAGGTCCAGTTTTCAATCACGAGGGGAGAAAGCTCTCTGGGACTCCCTGTAATGTGGCAATGTGCTCCACATTTGGCAGTACTAACAGGGCACCTACTAAAGCCCTCAGCCTCCCCTTGACGTAACCTGCAGGTTGATACTTCCCCATGTAAGGCCATATCAGACCTGTAAGTAAGAAATACACAAGCCAGGCTAGAGGAGCAGGGTGAAAAAATGAAATAATAAAATACAGCTGCATTCTCGTCCTGTCCTAGAGCCTCACTAAAGTCTTTGGTGCCTGGAGTAAATCCCAGCAGCCCTGCAAGCTTCTTCTGCCAGCTGCCAACAGCATGGGGGAACCAAAATGGTGTGTGAGGTCAGTGCAGAATTCTACCTTTCCAGTTTAGCCTCCTCTCCTTTATTCACACTCAGTAGCTGGAGGGGTTCAGGGCAAATAGGGTTCAATTTCCAACCCACAAAAAACTCCTCTCATGATGAAATTACTGTCTTTCAGATGGTTTTGTTTGCTTTAGAGCTCAGCTTCACATTCATACAGTGCTGGAGTCATGAAGCTGCTTTACAAGCTGCATCCAGCTCCCAGACATCTATGATTAAGTGATCAATGACTGCACATTGCTGCTCTTAATTTATATGACTTTTGCCCTGGGCTGAGGTTGGCTTTCACAAATGGATATGAATAACTACCTTGTGACAATAACTGGTGGCTAATATATCAGAGAAACAAAATAGAAATGGAGCTTCTAGGAATGATGATACACATCTGGGAAAAGACAGGCAAATGCACTCTTTCTGAACATTTATATTAGATAAACAGGAATGTATCTAAAGAGAAAAGTATGTTTTAATGCAATGTACAACATTAAATACAATTTCTCTGTACCCTGAGGAAGCCCTCAGTTGAAAGTTGTATTTTTTTTGAAAAAAAAAAAAAGAAAAAAAAGAGTACTTTTCATGCCAAGCTCCAAGAACAACCTATATTTCTTCTAATTAAGGAAGGTGGTTTAATACTCACCCACCACCAAGAAGAAGATGAATGAAGACACTGCAGATCTATAGAGTTTCCCAATGTGCTGGCTCATGGCTGCTGAAGTACACGGCCTCATCATCTCTCCCTCTGGTAGTATGGGTAAAAAATATGTGTGTATTATAGCAACAGGACCTCACATTCTGCCTAGAGAATGTCACACTTACTAAAGTTACCACAGCTTTGAGCTCACAGTGCTCTGCCTGATCCCTGGATGAGAGCCACATTGCAAGTGACAATTACTTCCCCAGTGGCTGTCCTGATCTCTCTCTGAGAATATGTCGAAAATGCCCTGAGAGGGAAGATAATACATTGTTTTTTACTTTAGGCTTGTATAAATCACAACTTTGGGCTGAGTATAGAATATCCAGATACTCCAAAGGAGACCTCTCTTCTGCTGAACTTCTCCTGAGTGATCGTGAGAACACAAAAAGCATTGGCCTAATTATCTGAACATTCAGACTCTAATGTACCACAAGAGGAAATTTCAGGAACTCAGTAACTTTGTGGCTATATGCACAAGGTGTTTACAGGTAAACTGTATCCCCCAAAGTGTTTTTTTTTTTTGTTTTGTTTTGTTTTTTTTTTTAATGCAGAACAAGTCCTTTTTCATCAAAAGTTGACTACTTAAACTATATTTATATTTAAGTAGAGCTTGTCTATGCAACTTGGGTGGAGGGAAAAGCGCTGGAGAGGGCGGCCTATCTTCAAAACCAGCAGGTGAGCTCTGAATCAGTCTGTGTTTATACAAGGTCCACACAGAGCACAATCCTGTGAGAGGAGCTACAGCAGCTTCAAGCCTCATCTGTACCACCCAGCCCTGCCAGGCATGCTATGCCTGCACCAAGGATGGGCTATGGTCACTATTTGACTGACACCTCTTCCCTCAACTACCGGATTAGGGATCATGGGACACTTTCTCTGATGATCCTGCATATGTTCAAAACTCTCCAGGAAATGGAATTGTGCTTGAGTATCCAGTAAGGACTCAATTTCATAACTCTTAAAGCACAATGCAGCTGAGAGAGGCATGAGTATTTCTGCTTTTCTTTGCATCTGAAAGCAAAAAGGACCCATATTTGATTCGCAGAACTTGGCTGATGAAATAATGTCAGGAGGAATGGCCCATTCCTGCAGTCACCAGTTGTCACTTTAGCTTTGGTGTGCAGATCCCAAAGCAGTGGAATCAGCAAAAGCAGGATAGGCTAGAGGGAGTATGGTTAAAGGAATCTGGGAGGCAAATACTTCTCTGAAATGGGTTGGGAGAGTGGAAAGACCCGTGATTAGCAGGCAGAAATCATATTAGGAAGGGAACTGGGGCCAAGTGCAGAGCAACAGAGCACTTCAGAAGGAAGATGGAAGTTTGTAAGGGTGTTCTGAAGGAAGTACTGCCAAAGTGCTAGTGAGTAAAGCCAAAATATCCATGAGGGGAAAAAGTTAGAGGAGTCAAAAACAATGAAGAGTTTGAGGAGGGAACAACCTGTAGAGTCAAAGGCACCTGGCAGTTCAAGAGGATTTTGCACTAAGTTACTGGTTTAGAGTGCTGATTGTGACTGTGTGTCAGAGGAGTCAGTGTGAGAAGATGGATCTGAACCAAAGGCAATCCAAACACTCTCTGATTTAAACCCAAGTACTTGGTGTGCTTCAAAAAAACCCTTCAAGTGTGTTGTGATGGACATACTACCATTGTTCCTGCAAATGCTATTTATGTTCATGTCATCCGGAACTAGCAATTCTCTTGTGAATCCTCCATTAAGTAGGTCATGTCTAAGCCAAAGTGCCAGGTCAGCCAGCTTTTAACTGAGGGAATACAAAAGGGGTTGGTTAGTGTTGCTGGCAGCCAGTAGCTGAACATGAAGCTTCTCTCACTCGGATAACCCCATATGATTCAGATTATGGACAAAAAGAAAAATAAACTGGTACCCTGAGTGTTGTTGAAAAAAGCCCCCAAAATTCAAGTTTCAGGTGCAAATCAAGACAGCAAGGAACAAAAAATGAAACAAAAAAACCATTCTTTTTTACACTCTCTTGTGAATTTTGGAGACTTGCAATTGCTTGCATTAACGCTGTCCTGTCTGGGCCAACAGCTGTGAGGAGGGACACTTTTCCATGGGGACTTGGGACACCTTTTCTAATGCAGCAGTGAGCAGATATCACAGGGCCCTGAGATGTCCAGGTGGGGCCTCCACAGAGAGAGCCTTTACCTCCATTTCCTGGGCAAGTGGTAGAGAGAAAGGGGACAATAGGAGCAACTAGCATTGTCACAACAGGCTGTTTTACTCACCCGTATATCCTATCCAATCCATCCGTCCATCCATCCATCATCTACTAGCTAACTACCCAGCAACGTGATTTCTTTGCACCTCACAGGTCTCTTTTCCTGTGAGGTGAGCTGAGGGCGCAGCTCTGAGAGCCATCATCGATCTGGTTGGGTCCCCCTGATTTGAGGAGCCCTCCGAGTGCCCAGAGCCTAGGGCAGAAACTACTCACCGCTGCTCAGCAGCCTCACAAATGAGACCCAGGGTTTCCTGGGATGAAACCCCCCACACTGACTTCCTTTATGTCACTTCATCCTCCGCTCGGCCCGCGGCCAGCCTTCTCCCTCTCCCCCTAGGAGTCCCCCCGGAGCGCCCTTCGGCAGTGTTTTCCCTCGGATCCCCCCCAGTTCGGGATTTGGGAGCCGTTTCGCTGCCCGGGCGCTGTTTAACCGGCTGCGCTCACGGAGAGCAGCGGCCGCGGAACTCTCCCTCAGGGGGGAGGCAGCGAACACCGCCCCCCCCCTCCCGCAGCCGGGAGTTTTTTTCCTACTACAGCTCTCAAACTTTCCACCGGCGCGGAGGCTTCCCAGTTAACCCTTGCGGAAGCCGCAGAGGGGCTGCCGCGGCCGGACGAGGAGGGGACCGGAGGCGCCGCAGCGCTCTCCGCCCCCCATGACGGCTCCCTCTCCTCGGGAGCAGCGGCGCCGCTCGCCCGTGGCAACCTCCTCCCGCCGCGGGCCGGCGGTGCGGCCGGCGCCGGCCCCTTTAAATGGCGGCCGCGGCTCAGCCGTGCGCCCCGCGGAGGCAGCTGGCGCGGCCCTCGCCCCCTCCATGGTAAGCGCCGCGTTCTGCGCTCCCCGCCCGCCCCTCCGGCGGGCTCCGTGCCCCCGCCCGCCGCCCCACCGCCCCCCGGGCCAGCGGCGGGCCGCGCAGGTAGGTGCGGGGGGCGGCAGCCCCACGGGCGGGCCCCGGACGGGCGGCGGCAGCGTGGCCCCGCGGGAAGCGCTGGGAAGCGCCGCCGTCCCCACCCACCTCCCCGAAAGTTTTTGGGGCGAGGCGTGGGCCGCGGGCAGGGTGGCCCGCGGGGCTCCCCGATGAGGGGGACAGCGAGCGCCCCGCGAAGTCCCCTTAGGGAGGGTCTGGGCTCCCGAGAGACCCGGCGGGGAGGCGGCTGCGGGGTTGCCGGGCAGCCGCTGAACCCTGGCGTTTATGTGGGGAGGGAGCGGGCGAGCAGCAACTGGTGGAGCCTACAGCGAGTGCGGGTGTTCGCGTGGAAGAGCCCCCCGGGGGCAGCTCTGCTCTCACACCACGTAGCCCGGAGTGTCTGTGCCTTTGCCTCGCTCCGCTGTCCCCTCCGCAGCCTGGCCCCAGCCCGGGCCGCGGTCCCGGGGTGCGCACCCCGGGGTGGCCCAACGCCGTCTCGGTCCTGAGCTGGTTTGGAGCCGAAACCCAGCGTTGCCTCATCCCGGCGGATCCGGTAGTACAGGCGGGGTTACGGATTAGGGCCCCGGGCTGGTTTTGGACCGCTTGCTGGGTGGGATGGCACAAGTGGTATTCTGTGGCTCAGTTTCCCTTCATAAAGTAAGACTGACTTCCAAAGCAAAGAGTACTGATAACAAGGGAGAGTGCTACAGAATTAGAACAAAGTGCTGCTTATTATCTTTGTAGTAAGTGGTATGAGTCAAATTACTTGTCTCGAAGTGTTTGCCTTGTATTTATATACAATTTATAGTGTAACTAACAGTAAGTATAAGCACTTGCTGTATCAGTATTATAATGACATATGTCAGTCACCTGGTAAAAATGCTACACCTGTATGACCTTTCTCGAGTTCTGAAAGGTCTCACAGGTTCCTGAGATGTGCTGCATGTTAGGCACTGATGTCTCATGTTGATATTATTTCAGTTCTAAGTATCTGTGCAGCTTCAACGTGCAAGTTGGGGGGGGGCTGCAGTGGAAATAAAATACTTAAATAAAAAAAGTAAAAAATAATTAAATACAGTATAGTCTAGGGGGAGAAATAAAACAAATTAAAAAGCTGTTAGTGGGAAGTGTTTCCATGCTACTCACCTTGGTGAAACTACCATGTCAAGTTTAATTTAATGCACAGCTGTTAAATGGACTAACCATCTTGTTTCACCTTTCTCTACCACTGCTGGATTACATACCTTACTTCTTTGTTCACAGGAAGTTCATGAAGTGGATCATGGTCTTATTAACCAGCAACTTTCTGATTCAGAGGAGACTCTTAATTCATGCACAGAGAAAATGCAGGGTCCTGCTCAGTATAGCTGGAGTGCTGACTGGAGCTTTTGGGTAATGTGTGTTAACTCTCTCCTAACTTGGTTTTAATTTATAAATATAATACATGTCTATTTTAATTTACACATGTGTGTATATGTACAAGTTTTATATCCACAGTTCTCAAGTTGCTTTGTAGTCATGAATTAGTAAAGTGTTCTCCACCCATGTAGTGAGGCAGGTAATTTTATCATTACTGGCTTACTAAAGTGTAAGGTGAGACTGAGGGGGTGAAGTTGTTTATCTGATGTCATGGATCAAGTTAGTGACAGAACTTGTGGCTTCTGTGCCCAGTCCTTTCTGGCATGAACCCATCCAATGTTTCTTATGCCTTTAGAAAGACATTTTTGATACACTGGTGCTTTTTAAGCATTAGGGCTGAATTTTGGTTCTCAATGGTGGTTGGTGGTTCTGGATTGCATTCCTAGTGTTCGTTTTTGTCAAGTAAACACATTTGTTTTCCACAAGAGTAAATAAGCTTCCTGTGTTTTCTCTAAAAATTGAATTTGTGAATAAGAAAGGCAGAAAAGAAGTAATTTATTTTTTTTTTCTTTCTGGGGAAGTGCCTGACTGAAAGCAGAGTGTGTAATAATAATAAGTTCTTATTTCAGTACTTTCTTTCAGTAGCTTTTTTAAAATGCCTTGAGAGAAGGTGAATGTATGTGTGTGTAGACTTGGAGTGTATGTTTTGCTGTTAATTTGGTGCATGGATTGTTATTGTTTGATAGGGAAGGAGACCACATGTGCATGGAGCCACAGGTACCAGCTGATCTTGTGGGAGACCCAGAGTGCCAGAGCTGTGAGGAAGGGAATCTGACTCAGGTTCTGTGTCAGGTGTCCTCAGTACATCAGTGTGCTTCAGCTCATAGGAGCATCATCTGGACTACTGTGTCCTTCTCCTGAGGAGGTCGTCAGAGTGTTCCTTGTGCTCAGCAGGTGCAAGATTGAGTAACTAGTGAAGGCCAGAAGGAATCCATGGCAGACCTGTGAGCAGAAGTGGGGGGATTAGATTTCCCAACTCCTTATAAATTATATAAATCTAGCTGGTATGTTTTCATCATTCCTGTTCACAGGTAGATGTCCCAATGCTCAGGACATCTGTTCTGCCTCTTAGGCCATAGGATAAATCCCCTCCAAATGCCTGTGTGTACTCTGCAATGGAGCAGTAGTAATGTAGAGCCAGTGGAAATAGGACAGGCCTAATAAAATCCCAGCAGGTCATGGACTTGTGTTGCTAGAGTGAGTTCTTGGGGTGTTCAGTATGTTCTTCACTATCCCTGCTGAGACAAGGATGGTCCAGGGCTGTCCTGCCTGTGCCCAGCTGTGTCTCTGTACCTGAGTGGATGGGAAGTCATGCTGTGCAGACATTGTAACTGCCAGCTATGCTCTTGTTAAGTGGCAAATTAGATTGTGTAAACTAATGCTTGCTGGTTTGTATACAGCCACTAATGCAGGTGGTATTTTGTGCGAGGAATAAACCTGTTCAGGTCTCGGTGTCAGGTTATTGGACCTGCTGTTAACAACTCAGTGTTTCCTTGATAGGCCTGGCAATGGAAAATGAAGTCATTAATGTACTCTACATGGAGAATGTAGCTGTGCTATTGGTTTTGCACTCTTGGGTTTCAGACACATACTGAAGGCTTGAAGTTTCTTTGACCAGAGCTTTGAGCCTGTGCAGTGCAGGATTTTGTGTCCTCACTGTGCCACTCTCTGCTCCCTGTAGTAATGTGTGCGTGTAACTTTAGGGGAGTGGGATTCTTCAGTGCAGTGGCAGCTGCTGTGTGAGGTGTTTTTCCAGTATGATTAAATGATTATTTTCTCTCTGATTTATGCTCCAAGACCTTAGTATGTGTTTGATGTTGGTGTTTGTCTGGTTCTGCAAACATGACCTTGCACTTAAAATAAAGTAATTGTGTAAATACTTCCCTCTTGTAAGATAACGCTGTGGCTGGAAATGTAGTCTTACTGTCACTGATTAGTTTTAAAAGCCTGTACCAGTCTGGTTGTAGGAAGCCACGGTGCTTATTTTCTCAGCCTCAAGGCAACTGAATTGTAAAGCAGCAAGAGCCAGGAAGTCACAAATTTGAGAAGAAAATTATGATTTTTTTTTTTTAGTGTTATGTCATTGGCATCTCTTCTTGCTCTTGTTGACAGAAGATGTTTCAATAAGTTGCATGGTTGATGATCAGCTGTTGACTATTAAAAACAAATTGTTAAAACTCCCTAAATTCTGAGTCATAGTAAATGTGTAGGTGATAGCAAGGAAGGCAGCTTGTTGCAGTGTGTGAAGCATGTGTCACTAACATTTGACAAAGATCATCTTCGTGTCCTGTGACAGGTGGGGACGTGTTATGCTTGTTCCCACTCTTGAGTCAGAAGAATGGAGGAATTGCTACAACAGCAGGACTAGCCTGTGGTAGCATCCGGGGATCAGCTCTGTTGCCTGGGTTATGTGTCTGGAGAGGCCACACGCTTCCAGCAGCTTAGGTTTGCTCCAAGGGTTGATTTCTTCTGAGGGTGATGTACTCTTGTTTTGCTGATGATAGAAACCAAATGTGGATGTTAGAGCCTGACTGGTTTGACTTCAATTTTTCATGGATTGAGTTGGGAGTAGGCAGTTATGCCATGCCTCTGGAAGTTAGGCCAGGTATCGTGAATGCTCAATAGGAGCACAGGTAATTAGCAGCAGTCTAGGGCTGGCAGCCTCTGGGGCAGTCTCTCTCCTGCTATGGTGAGGCTATGGCAAGTGGGGAGAAGGAAGGATAGCTGAAAAATTATCAGGCAGGGTAGAAGAGTATCCTACTATGTGGAATTTTTCTTACCTCTTAAAAAAATAATATTTTGGATATCTTTATTGAATAATTTTGAGAAATAATTAGTTTTCTCTGTTACTGAAAGCAGTTCTTAAACTGATAGTATTACTTAACTGCTATTTTTAATGTTGATGGTGTGTCATGGGCTATTTTTTGGTTTTGGTTTTTGGTTTTTTTCCCCCCCCTCCGCCTGGAGGTGGACAAAGCTGGACTTCTGTAAACTCACTGGAAGAAGAAAAAAGGATGGATTAAAAACTTAATCTTGGGTCTTTCTCTCTCCACTGGAAATGGTACAGCTTTTATCTCCAGTTGATTAAATAGTCCTAGTTTGGGCAACTGCAAATAGATGAGGAAAGTCAAAGATGATTGGAAATTGTGTTATATCTGGGAGCCCTATCTCAGGATTCTGAATTCACCTTTTTATCCTTTTTTATGCCCTTCTTACTGAAATATGGTTCAGTTTAATATCCTTGGAAGAAGAAACCTGTGAAAGCCTTAAGTATTTTCCTACCATAGTGAAGAAGGTGAAAGGTGAATAAGGAAGCTAATGAAAAGGATCCTTGCATCAAAAGTGAAGGTTTTGTGTCTGAGAACTCTAGTTTATATTATTGAACAGTCAAAGAAAGTTCATGTATGTCTACAATAAGAAGAATGCCTGTGGGGAAAAAAACCCAAAAAAGCGAGTCCTTCCCTTGGAATGAAAAGGTAGGTGGAATGAGTGGAAATCAAATGAGCGTCTCAGAAAATTGCTTGTATCTGGGAGGCTTCCTTAAGAATTTGAAAATGTGAGGTGTCAAGGAGGTGTTGGAAAGAAGGTAATAAAAGAGGCTTAAAAAAGGCAATCAATTGGAGTGTAATGCCAGTTTAAAGAGTTGGCCAGTATGAAGGAGTTTGAAAATAGAAGCAAATAACTGATACAGTGGAAAGTGAAAATAAGCCTTTTCATAATATAAGAGCAGCTGAGGTTGCACAAGATCGAGAAGGAATTTTGAATTTTTACACACATGGATCTGGTTTCGACAAGAAAGAACTAGTCTGGGAGTGTGTGACAATATGTATGGCAACAATACAGTCAGTATATATGACTCAAACCTGCACAAGGAGGGGTGCAGATACGTATCACAATTTGGAAGATAACGTATTGAAGCACAGATACAAACTGAGGCACTTGGGGGCCCAAGACTGGTAGGGTTAAATGAAATATTGTATGTATACTTGTTTGAA